TGTAGTTTGTTTTGAAAATCATATTTATTTGATATATTTTAAAACTTTAGTCCCTTATTATTAATTTAACTTACATTTAAAACTTTTCTCCAATCTTTGATTGTGTAAAAATTATAACTGAATTCATTGTTCTATAAATATTTTGAGAGGCAAAAAGAAGATAGTTTCATACGCCGCCATTCCACCAAAAATATAGTCCCTGCTAGATTTCAAACTTAGTTTACCATTTCTATTTAAAGTTGTACAATTGTGATGAGGAAAGAAAAAAATGATCTTTTAAATCCCTTACATCTAAATACATAAGACATACAAGCAAATATACTTTGAATATTTCATCTAGTCAGAAACCAGACAAGAATCCCTCCTTAAGCTACCATATGCATTAAACCACCATTAAGCGATTGCTTAAAGATGGTCTTTCGTCCTGTGTCTGGTAGAATTTTTTTCCTGTATTGATTATACAATTGTATGTATACTATCATGTTGTAAATTTTGAATTTACCGGATGGCAGTACATACAAAATTTTCAACATGATGTAGTTGTCATGTAAATTTTGTATTTACTGCCACCCGGTAAATTCAAAATTTACATGACAATATACATGTATATCGACATTAGAACAGCAAACTTGTTTGAAAAAATAACCAGTTTTATAATATATTTACCTGTATGTATTTGATACCTAAATTTTAATATACCTTCATCACCTGCATACGGGGTATATATCTCTCAGTTGATTCGATACGTAAGAGCATGCTCTACGTATGTACAATTTCTAAAACGAGGTAAATTATTGACAAATAAGTTGATGAAACAAGAATATCAGCTGTCTCGTTTAAAGTCATAATTTCGTAAGTTCTATGGTCGATACAATGACCTTGTCAGCAAATACAATTTATCATTGAGTCAAACACTGACCGACGTTTTTCATACTAATTGTTAGGCCATTATTTACACACTGAATTGTCGACAGATTTTTCCGTTATTTCCCGATCATGACAAGGAGCACACGGCTGGTGTGACCGGTCGGCAGGGGATGCTCACTCCTCCATGGCACCTTATCCCACCTCTGATGTTTGGAGGTCCGTGTCTGCTCTGCTCCTATTTTGTATTGTTTAATGGACTTTTGAGCTTAAATACTGTTCGTTATCTCCATATATTTAATTTGTATAACAGCAGAATTCATATCCATGCACAACTTGGATTACCTACACATTTCAAGAACATCTAATTAGCGATCTGCTAGAAGAACTTGTATTTGATTTTTATTTTCGGATATTCAACTTATACTCAAAGGTTTACTCTATAAGGCTGAAATTCCTCGAAATCACGCTTCAATCTTTAAATAGTCTTTATGTTTCAGTAAAGGAAAAAGAATTGGATTATTCTATCTATACTGGATTCTTAAACTTCAGGAAAATCCTAAAAAAAAAAAAAAAGATACATACAGGTTGCAGCAAATGCTCTACCAATCCCCTGTTTTTAACTTCTCACTAAAATATTTACTCCTTAGAAGGAGAAAATTAAGACGCACTATGCTTCAATCTATTCATAAAATTGTGTAAATTATATAGATGATGGATTTTAAAATCTCTTACAAACTTACATTTTAGAAACATTTAAAATCACTTTTTTCAAAGTCAATAACAACAAAATGCATGATTTTACAACACTTCATATTCCTCACGATGAATTAAAGATTAGGTGTTTTGATAACTTAGAACACCTTCTTCAAGAAAAATGGAACTTGGAACTTTCCTGTCTCGTGACCAGTCATTAAACAATTAATTGTTTTAAAAAATCAGTCTGCTTCTACAAACAAGTACTCTGAGCTAGATATTAGAAATATGCCTCTTTCACAAGATCTATATAATCTTTGGAGACCAAGCCTTCCAACAGGCTGTTAGAATTTTGATAGGACATAATATCTTCTTTATTACCAGACATGTATGTTTTTATAATCCTAAGAAGCAAACTATTCGATTACTACTACATGACAACAAGAAAAATTATGTTGTGGGCTTTCACAGGGATATATTAACGACGTTTTATCAATATTTACAAGAATTACTTTCATTCATATGTTGACTCGATATATCCAAGTGAACTCGAAATAAATATATCTGTTTCAATATCCGTTTTATATTGGGTGTTTTACACAGACGATGATGCCCACTTAACGACGACGGGCCTAATTCATTTCTGCAATAGATTTTTATTCAAATTCTAATATGAGGTAAAGTGACTTTTATTGAGTTAACATCAATAAAAAAAAATCATATGGTCATCGATGTAGATTTTTTAAAGGAGAGCGTTTCAAAAGTTGGCGATGGAAATCGATAATTACTATAGGAAGTACTGTAAGTCAACTATTATTCGCGACATCTTGTGTTCGCGATTCTTCAGTAAAGAATCTATCCTGCGACTACTAATATTCGCAACCTAGGCAACATTCTACAATAAATACGTAGGTAAAGAAAGTGATTCGCGACGAGAAATGTTTGCGAGTTAAAGAAGGTCGCGAAACTCGTGGATATTTCTCGCTCGCGAATAAAAGTTGGTTTACAGTAATCGAAAATTGCCAGTGTAGGGTAGAAGAGTGATCATTGAAAAAAAATCTGCAATAGAATTTTTATTCATATTAAAGGACAATGCTAACAAGACAATTTACCAGCAAATTATACCAAAAAATAAATGGGTCATCGGCTTCGATTTTTTCAGGGGGCCTGTCAAACTCAGGTGTAGGGCACATTTTGAGGGAAATTTTCAATAAAAATACCTTGGCCAACTAAATCATTTATTTATAAAATTAACAAATGAATATAAATCGAAATATTTAAAATATTTTTAAATGGAGAGGAATCGTTTGAATATCTTTAAAAGAATTAAAAAGGTATATATTTTTATCTTTTGCAATACATAATTAAGTCAATTTGATTCAAGGCATATGAGCAGTTTTCTGTGCAGTGGCGCGAAATTTCGAATTAGGTCCGTTGTCCTTAACGACTAATCTGCATGACAAACGAGATGACAACTTTTCCATGAAAATTGAAGACAACGAACTGTGATCATATTGAAGGGTAAATTAAACAATACAAATTGTGAGCAAACTTTTACAACATCAGAGGTGGGATCAGATGCCATGGAGGAGTAAGCTTTCCCTGTCATGAGGTCACACCCGACATGTGTCCTTTGTCATGAAGGTGTAAATGATGGAGAAATACGCAGTCAATTCAGTATGAAAAAATGGTCCGTAAATTTGAATGAAAGACGTTTATTTGGTTATATTATTGCTTACATTTTTTCATACCTATTGTTAGGCCATTGTTTAGTACTAAAATGCTCCGTCTACCTGATCAATACATAGAGCTCATGGTGGGTGTGACCGATCAACAGGGAATGCTTACTGCTCTTAGGCATCTGACTCAATCTCTGGAGTTTCAAGGGGTCCGTGTTTTGTGTCTTGTTCACAAATTTGTATTGTTTTTAAGAATTTTGAGGCCATTCACTGTTCGTTATTTCTACCTTTTTAATTTTGGTTGAAAATATCGTGTACCGGTATATGTTGTAAAGAAAATTCACTCGGTGATTTAATCCGTGCCTCAACTTATAAACTATCGTGGAAAAGGCTACTTCTTTTTTCAATTATTTCATTTCATAGAGAAAGATTGCCGAATTTCAGATCTATAGTATTTTAATTAGGCCATATGCCCTTGTCATTTCCGATTTCGTTTTATATGTTTTAGCAGTCGTCAACCCAGCGTGTTACTTTTCCCGTCAGGGAGGGCAAAACTTAATTTTTGATATTGGGGATATGCCAGGTTGCCGGCTGCCCCACTGTTATATTGACCACTGTTGATAATATCTGCCAACTCAATTAAACCATTATAAACAATCAAGATATTTGTTTTGAAATATTGAATATATTTAGGTCTTTGATAACAATTTTAAATATGAACGAAGAGATTTATTTTTAAAAAAAAGATATGACTACAGATATTATCAAAAGCATTGTTTGTCAATTACTAAACTTTGACCCGCTCTGCGATCCCATTTTCGCAGTTTAAAATTTTGGATGTTTAAAATATATATAGTGATATATTTAAACTTTTAGATTCAAACCTTTGAATTTATTGTTAAAACATGTCTACCAAATCTGGATATAATGTGACGTTAAATAAAAATGTTATGACAGAAATCCTCTAACAGCCCTTATATACCGTATAGTTGGTTTTCATGTTACCTTGCTTATTTTACGTTTCAATTTCAGAAAGAAAAAAACGCATTTTTCTTCCATTTGCATAAGGGAAAAGTATTTTCTTTCTGGTTTGTCAAATTTATTATTGAATATATTAAACTCCAATCTTTTATCAGATGTTACAATTGAGAACATTTGGTCCATTGCAAAGTTTCTCGGCATGATCTCTATCATTTTTTGATAGCCAGTAACACTTCTAATTTTGTGTTTGAAAATTTTTTTTATTATCTTATTTTGTCTGATCTAGAAATTCAATGTTTATTGAAAGACATTTGGTGCTAAATTCTTTAATCTATAAAGGATTTAAATCCTCTAAACAGCAAGTTTTCATCACTACCACAGGACAAAGCAATACTGTATCACTCATGAGTTTTGCATAGAGGAAAATTATAGAAACTAAATATCGTCTGTTTCGTTTCTAAGTTGAACTGGAATTTCAATCTAATGTTCATATGCAACATAAATTTCTTTAAAGAACAAACATTTGTCAGATTTGTAATGTCATAAGAGAGATATATATTTTAATGCCTTAGAACTCTTTTATCTTTTCTCTTCTGGGGAAGTCTATATAAATCGAATTCGAAATATGAAGTTACAGGAAAAATAGGACGGGTTCACCAAACTGCTCTTAAGATATTTTGTATGTAACTAAGTAAATCTTTCACAATGCATATTCCAATTCCGTTTAGCATTACCACTTTATTGTTTTTGATTAATACTGGAGAAGGTTTCGCATTGCTAATGCATGGAAATTCTAACGAAACAATCCTTTTGTCTGGTTTGCATACTTCCGATCCAGCAGAAATCAAGCAAATGTTTCTGAACCTAACAGCAGAGTTGGAAAATCTCAAGAGACAAATAGATGTACTTGGTGATGAAAAAAAGTTGCTTCAAAACAGAGTATTCTTCTTGGAAGTGGAATTGAATAAACTAAATTCGTCTAAGACCCCTTCCAGTAATGAATTAATGGCGTATCTAAGAAGCACGAAGCACATAATTCAAACTTTGGCGGCAAATGAAGAATACGACAAAAATCTAACTCTCCGACTTAATGAAGCGGAGAATAATTTGGCGATATGTGTTAAGCAAAACAAAAACTTAACTCAGCAACTTAACGAAGTAGTGAATAACATGGCTGCAAATGAAGTGTATGACAAAAACGTAAGTCAATGGCTCGGTGTTGCAATGGACAACTTAAATGACTTAAAGATTCCAATGCGATATACAAGCTTATCACTACTAGACGTTCATTCTAAGATGGAAGAACTAAATACAACGGTAACCAGAAATTATGACGATCGAATAAAGGATCTCCATGGGCGAATAACAAGTATGTATTCAAGCATTGCCGATTCTTAAATATTAAGTATCTAGTACATTTTTTACGATTTAATGTCAATGTCATAGATAGCTCCTCATGCATTTAAGGATATTTCTCAGTTTTGTGTGAGATATTGGTATGTAAATCACACAGACTTGTCACGTAGGCATATTTCATGAAGCTCGCTAGCTCTTCATGAAAAATATGCCTACGTGCAAGTCTCTGTGATTTACACACAACAATAATTTACACAAAACTGAAATGAACATTCCTTATATATATATATATATATATATATATATATATATATATATATATATATATATATATATATATATATATATATATATATATATATATATATATATATATATATATGTATATATATATATATATATATATATATATATATATATATATATCACATGTTTAAAAGCAGCAAAAATGCACTCAGTGTTTGGATTTTCCGATGCCCTATATCGTTATATTTTCACTAACGTCTCTGTAGCCCCATTGTGACGTACTTAAGTGTGAATTTATCCTTGCATATTTCTGCGCGTGAGTATACATGCAAATGGCATTCAAATCAATTTTTAGTTGGTTAAGGACAAAAACACTGTAAATGTTAATATAAAAAAAAATGTGCTGTTTTTTTTTTTTTTCGAAATTGTTTGTTGTTGTTGAAGCTATTTCAATTTCAGCTCAATCAATTTAAACCATAGGCTTAAAGTGCTGATTTGATTTTTAATAACAATAACATATGTGCAGTACTTCAAGTAATATTTATTTCACGATTAGTTGTTTTTTTTTTTTTTTTTTTTTTTTTTTTTTTTTTTTTTTTTCATTTCAGTGATTTACGCCATATAGAAAGTTGTTTCATAAACTCAAATAAACCTTGCAGATTTAACCAAAAAGGTAGCCTTTACGGTCGGCATGAGGTCAGCCAGCAGCTCCTGGAACAGCGGTACATTGGTGTTCGATAGGATTGTTTACAACATAGGTGGAGGGTACGACTCAGGCACTGGTGTCTTCACAGCTCCTGTCAATGGACACTTTGTTTTTTTCGTGAATGTACAAGCTTATAGTTCCAATGCAGTATACACACATCTAGTACTAAATGGCTCGAATAAAGTCACAACTATGGCAGAAAATGGTTCTTACATGCCAGGACCAAATTTGGCGGTATTAGGACTTCAAAAAGGAGATCGAGTATGGGTCAAATATTACGCCGGGACTGGTTATTACAGCGACAGTACAGCTCCTGCTACCACGTTCTCTGGATTCCTTATTTAAGCTAAATTTTATAATGGACATAAAAAAATGTTTGGTTAAAATCTATTTCAAAACTATAATAATGATTAATAACTTTTCATGCAATTTAGTCTATTGTAGAACTCAATATATGATAGCTTTTGGTTCTCTTTGGATGGTGAAGTGAATGATGTTTTGTGAATAAATGACTTGAAATGAAGGTAAAGAAGTACACAGACTAGATCTTGTTATATGAAATATTATATTCCTTTTTTAAAAGAAATACTAAAAGAATAGACAGTGGCAAACTATAATGCGATTGAGGATAGTTTGCCAAGAGCAACATTAGAGAGGTTAAGCGTTTGACCGCGTGCGTCTACGTGTACGTGTAAACCTAGAAGTGTTTTTACAAGTACGCGTAACTAACATCGTGTTCTGTTTAACAAACAGCACGTGTACGGGTACGTGTAAAACATTTTGTAATAAAATATTCCATTGGATAAAAAAATCGAAATAAACAAATCAAAATAAGTTTTCCTTCTATGTGATTGTAAATTAAAATGGCGCAAAATATGATGTTACTTGCATCTTTGGAGGATGATGATGACCTTTTACTGTTGGCGAGTGTGGGCGATAAAAAAAATTCCTCAGTTTATCGGCAGTTAAAGTTTGATGAAATAAGCAATGAACAGTTCCTTAATTTGTTTACAATAAAAAAAGGGGAGATATGAATGGTTTGTGTGAAGCGTTAGATTTACCAAGAAAGATTGTGTGCCAAAACAGGACTGTATGTTCTGGAATAGAAGGTTTGTGTATTCTTATTCGCCGATTAGCGTACCCAAGTAGATTACAAGACCTTTCGCATATATTTGGGAGATCAACTGCTGAATTATCATACATTTTTAACACTGTCCTTAATTTCATTGATACAAGCCACGGACACAGACTAGAGAGTTTAAATCAGCCTTGGTTGTCGCACGCAAAGTTGGATGAAATGGCCACAGCCATAAGTAACTGCGAAGTCCCGCTGTTAAATTGCTGGGGTTTTATAGACGGAACGGTGAGGCCAATATGCAGACCCTAATCACATCAGCAGTTGGTGTTTGATGACCATAAGAGAGTCCATGGTCTTAAGTTTCAGTGTATTACGACACCTGATGATGGTAAAAATATTTTCAAAAATACCCCGTACACCGCGATATACATAGAGAATAATATATACCCTTTAATTTCCGTATCACATCCTGTATCAGCTCGAGACGCAGCCAGTGGGCCGAAGGGCCGAGGGCTGACATTGGTCGAGGGCATGTTTTATTATGTTTATTACATACATGTAATAAAACACAGCACACATGAACTTGAGAAAAATACAAATAAATAATCATGTGTGCCCCCCCCCCAACTGAATAATTTTGCCGATATATAGAATACTATAAAAAAAACATGGCTAATATATGCTTGTGCCCCTTCAATTAAAAGGTCTGATGATTTTTTGCTTGTCAAGGAATTTTTGGTAGTTGAAAGTGCCCCCCCCCAAAAAAATAAACTGAAAATGTATGGCTGTGTCCCCCGAACTAAAATTACTTCCTACGGGGTCATGCACTGACAAATGACATGTAGCCTATTATATCAAAACAGTAATTTAAAATTAAGAGAATATGAACAATTTTTTTTAAAAAAATAGATGTATTATCGTATGTACTGTTTTTTAAGGTTTAATCTACAAGGAGATATAAATCTGTATCAGCCCTGCAATTCTGCAATTATGACATCAGGTAAATCGCATAAGCAAGAACCCTGTTTTTATTACTAAGTATGTTGTAAATGTATGCAGTGTAATACATGTGCATACCTTTCTTTGGTGTCAGACACTCTAAGGCTCTCTTTCTTATTTCTTACCCAATGTTCTCGGATTTTTCTTTCTTTTCTTTTTCTTCTTTCTTTCCCCTTTCTTCCTCTTCTTTCAACCCCAGTACTTCATCAAGTAAAGTGGTTTTTTTCTGTTATTTCTTCACCAACACCAGATCTTAAAAATAGTACTTAATAATGAGTTTTCAAACTGTCTGAATTTATTATAAAATCAGATTTTTGGTCCACCCGCAATGTTGTGTAACTAAAAACATAAACAAAGAGAGGATTCAGCTAAAATATAATTATGTGTAGTATTTATTCAGAAAGAGAAATAGAGAGATGTGTACTTTTTGAGATTCTCTCGGTTTTCTCTCTTATGCTGTTCAATGAGTAGACGTGTCCGCTCTCTCACTCTCCTAGCATCTAGAAAAAAATCAGGTGATGACAGGGTTGCAGCGATTTCTGCCCATTTGCTCTTGTTTTTCAAGGGATTACTGGCGACAATTTCCCTCAAAAGCCCGATGTCATCCTCACTTTTAAACCGAATTTGTTTTTTCCTCTCGATATTCATTTCCCCCTAATTTTAAAAGAAGATTGAAAGAAATACAAGTATTAAAATAAATATAGAAATTCTATTAGTGATTGAGGATTTTGGCTCTACAGAGGGGGTGGGGGCATATATTTTTTTAATCGAAAAAGTGGCAAACCTTGGAAATACTGATGTCTGAAACCAAGTTAAAATGTTGATTAAAGAATATCTTTTAAGGCTTATGCTTTAATCAATATTCAAATCTTCATTTCTATTTTCTAATCATCAAAATCTCAAAATTCATGTCTTATTTAATAAAAAAAAAAAAAAAAAAAAAAAAAAAAAAAAAAAAAAAACACTAATTAATGCAATGTGCATGTTATTTGGGAAATTTTAAAATTGGGAAAGGGTCCTTTTACAATATCTGAATGCAAGGGTTATTAAACCCTACCCCCCCCCCCCCCCAAAGAATATTGGAGGGCAATTCCTCTTTTTTCGCTTGTCAATATCACATGGATTAAAATAAATAATATACTTCTGAGCATTTAAGAAAACATGAAAATAAATAAAAATAGATAATGTGTCTCAGCCCCCCCCCCCCCGTCCCTTAAATATGCGTGAATCGACATAATTCAACAAGACGGGTACCAACAATAAAAAAAACAATAATAATTAGTTCTTTGAGTAATGAATGTATAAACATATATCATATTGATTCTTCAACACACGTTGGAATTTTTCTCAGGTCATTCGAAATGACGTCATTTCAACATGTCACTTTACAATCCATTTTTATCAAATATTTCTATGACTTTGATCAAAAAAGGTACACAGATGTACGTAATAAATTCTCAACATCACAACAAACACCACATGAAAAAAAAAATCCATTATTTGAGTTTATGAAGCTACAAGTTCTTACCTCCGTGTACTTGTGAATTCACGCGTTGTGCACAACTTGTAGAATTACGCGGTATGCAAAACTGATGACGTAAATCGCAGTAAATTAGGGGACTTCCCTAGCTATACGTACACGTAGACGTACACGGTCATTTGCTTAACCACTCTATTGTCTCTGATTTATTGATTACTATGTTTCTTAATTTTTTTTGATAAGTTTTCAATGTTTTTATTTTTTATAGTAGGCATTTTGGAAGAGCTGTCTCCTATTTTTTTACTGGTCAGAATACCAATTATAACAAGAGGCCCAAGGGCTTAACTTGAGTATAATACAACACTGTTAAGGATCCATAGAAGTCTTAATAAAATAAACTCTGACTTGTTTGCTAACAATTGTTTCGTTCGATTGTCATCATTTTTACTTTTGTTTTCATCGGCTAACACTGCTTTTATAAGATCCACAACAATGAAGCGCTTATCTCTCTTTCCATGACGTTATTAACTCTG